GTCTATTCCTTCCTGTAGCTCTTGGGTTCTTCTGAAACGAATATGCGCTGCGCTAACGAGAGCCGCAGTTATCGACCGGCTCTCCATCCTTGTAGACGCTTTTTTGCTTACAACAACGAAGGTCGGCTCTGGCCAGAGCCGCATCTTGAAAACGATCCGCCCTCCATCTATGTAAATTTTGGAGTTGCTTGTTAGTTTCAGGACCGTAGTTCAATACAAGTAGGTCGCTCTGGTCAGAGCCACATCTTGGAAACGACACGCCCTTCATTCATCTAAGTTTTGGAGTTGATTCTTAGCTTCGGGGTCGTAGTTCACAGGGAACCCTCAAGCAGAACACTTGGCCTGGCCTGCGGACATGCCGGCTCGTACGACATGGAGACATATTTACAAGGAAGAGGAATGGGGAAGGAGACGGACAAGGAGGCGAAGAAGACGAGGAGGCGGATGGGTTTGAGGGGTGATGGGGGATGGTGGGGGTGGGAGATCAAAAGGGGGGGTGGGAATGGAAATGGGGGAAGGGACAGAAGAGGACAGCAGTAGGGGCCGAAAGAGAAGGAAAAGGGAGACGAGTGCGTGCCGCCGATGTCCAGCCACCCCATGGTTGTCCAACGAAGGGGTGTTAAAGACAGCACTCCTCTCCTGAGAAGAGGAGTATGGTGGGTGCGCGTGCGGGGTGGATGGCTTTCGATGTCTCAGAGCTCTAATGCGGTAAGGATGGCTTCGGCGGGGGCGCTGGGGGATCGGCCCTCCCGTCTAACCCCCCCCCCACCCTTTCGCCCCCCCAAATGTCATCCCTCCCCCCTCCTGTCTCCTCCTGCCTTCATCTTCCCTCTCCCCTCCTTCCTGCCTTCTTGCTTCCCGCCCCTCCCTCCCTTCCTTCCTCCTCTCTCCCTCCTGCTTCTCCCCTTCTCCTGCGTGGCGACGACGATGACAATGACGCCGACGACCACGACGTCCACGACCATGGCCACGACGACTGCGACGACGACGACGAGGACGACGACGGCCACGGCCACGACCACGACCACGGCTACGACGACCCCGATGGCCACGACGGTACCGACGACCACGACCACGACGACAACGACGACGGCCACGGCGGCCACGACGGCCACGACCATTGCCACGATGACCGCGACGACGACGACGCTGACGGGCACGGCGGCGACGCCGACGACGACGCCGCCCAGCCGGCGCGCGGCGACGGCCTCCGACGACGGCACGGTCCGCCTATGGGGTCTCGACGACCTGGCGTGCACGGCCGTGCTCGAAGGCCCCCCCTCCGCGCCGGGGCCTGGGCTGGGATCGGCCGTGCGTGGCTGAGGGCTTTCCTCCGTTGTCCTTCCATGGTTTTTCAGTCCTCCCTCTTTCCTCCTCTTCGTCCTTCTCCTCCTCCGACTCCTCCTGTTCCTCCTCCTCCTCCTCCTCCTCCTCCTCCTCCTCCTCCTCCTCCTCCTCCTCCCTCCTCCTCCCTCGTCCCCCTCCTCCTCCTACTCACAGTTGCACAATCTGAATACTACTGTCCTCTCTCCTCCGGTGGCGTCCAGGGTGTCGGGCCCTCCTAAGCGTACTCGTTTTTGACAGGATTCCCAGGAGTTGGGTTTCTGGTTTTTCGCTAGGGCTTTTCCCAACCTTCCCGTGGTGTTGGGTGCTCGTTTTGAAGAGACGGTCCCCGCGTTCCTTCCTTCCTCCCCCCCCTCCCCCCTACTCTTCCCTCCCTGCGCTTCACCCACCCATTTCAGCGCTTCGTGGCGCCATAGGGAGCTCCACCGAAGCCCCCAGTGCCACCGTCTGCATGCGTCCCGGAACATCCAATTTGGTATTTTCACCCACTCGGTACAGCGTTTCGTGGTCCAAGAGGGAGCTCCACCGAAGTCCCCAGTGCCACCGTCCGCATGCGTCCCGGAACATCCAATTTGGCATTTTCGTCCACCCAGTACACCGATTCGCTGCCCAAGAGGGGGCTACACCGAAGCCCCCAATGCCACCGTCCGCATCCCACACACCCAGCCTGGCATTTTCACGTGCCAAGCACAACGTTCCGTGGCCCCTCTCCACCGAAGCCCACAGTGCCACCGTCCGAATGCGTCCCGGAACATCCAATTTGGCATTTTTTTCCCACCCAGCACAGCGCTTCGTGGCCCAAGAGGGAGCTCCACCGAAGCCCCCAGTGCCACCGTCCACATGCGTCCCGGAACATCCAGTTTGGCATTTTCACCCACCCAGTACAGCGCTTCGTGGCGCCGAAGGGAGCTCCGCCGAAGCCCACAGTGCCACCGTCTGCATGCGTCCCGAAGCACCCAATTTGGCATTTTCACCCACCCAGCACAGCGTTTCGTGGCCCCAGAGGGAGCTCCACCGAAGCCCCCAGTGCCACCGTCCGCATGCGTCCCGAATCACCCAATTTGGCATTTTCACCTACCCAGTACAGCATTTCGGGGCCGCCTGTGGCTGGTCCAGATGGACGACGTCAAGATTCAGGTCCTGACTGGCAGGCTGAGTGATGGGCAGACGGAGTACACTAACGTCCTCACAGAGATTGCCATCGGTGTCCCTGCCTTGACAGGGAACGTCCTCCACATCTCCGCGACAGGCGTTACATGGCGTAAAGCTAACGGATCGGAGGAGTCCATCCTCTGTGACTTGGACACCGAGTTGCCGAGCGAGCTCGTCGAGGCAAAACGGGACAACTCGGGGGATGTTGACCTGCCCGATCGCGAGGACGCCGAGGTGAATGTGGTGCACGTGAGGCTACCACAGTCGGTTGACCTAGAGGTCTATCAATGGCCTGATTCCGCTGGCCGCTTCACCGACGTCAAGATCCTTACGCCTTTAGAAAGCACTTCTTCTGGCATTTGCGCGGATAGCACATTGTCAGGAGTAGGGGTATCCATATCCGCAAGCATTTTGCCTGCGTCTAATCACAGCTGGAGCTGCGCAACAAAGACGTCTGAAGTTCCTTGGCCTTACGGGGCGGGTGATCGTGTGGCATTTGAAGCACAGCTTACCAGCTACGGCGCCAGAGACAATTCAAGAACTTGTGGATTCTGCAGGCAAGATTTCGCTAACTTTATTGGGGATCTTGCCAAGCAGCTGAAGGCATTGAACGGACAGGAGTGTTTTCAAGGGGTGCTATACGGAGTGGCATTTGGCTCTAGGTATGAATCGATGTTAGATACAACCGACGGTGCGATAGCTCATCGGTTCCCCAGATTCACCAGCGATGTTTTTTAAATGTTGTTACTTCTGCTGCTGGCTTCGTCGGGGACGCAGCGTACCGTACTGCTGGAGCATCTACAGATATTCCTTCAAATCGCACTTCTAAGAATGGTCCCAATATGTGAAAGAGCGTGTTCTACCGCTGCTGGCGGAAAACCGGGGGGGGTCACTACCGGTTCGAACCCCTCCCCCCCCCCCCTCCGGAAAACCGAGAGGGGGTCACTACCGGTTCGAACCCCCCCCCCTCATCCCCCCCCAAAATGAAAGGGGGGGGGTCACTACCGGTTCGAACCCCCCCCCCCCCCTCGAAAACCGAGTGGGGGTGCGGACAGTGGTGGGGACGGTGTTGGTGGGGACAGTGGTGAGGGGACAGCGGGACAGTGGTGGGGACAGTGGGGGGACAGTGGGACAGTGGTGGGGACGGTAGTGGTGGGGACAGTGGTGGGGACAATGGTGGGAACAGGGGGGACAGTGGACAGTGGTGGGAACGGTGGTGGTGGGGACAGTGGTGTGGGGACAGTGGGAATGAGGTGGAAACACTGGGACAGTGGAGGGTGCAATGGTGGTGGGGACACTGGTAAAGGCGTCGGCGAGGACGGCGGTGGGACAATGGGACAGAGGTACAGTGGGGACAGTGGTGGGGACAGTGGGAACAGTGGTGGGAACAGTGGGACAGCTCAGTGGGACAGCGGAGGAGTCAGTGGGACAGTGGGGACAGTGGGGATAGGCAGTGGTTGGGTCCGTGGAGACAGTGGGGAGAGTGGAGCCGTGGTGGGAACAGTTGTGGGAACAGTGGGGACAGTGCGACAGTGGTGGGGGCATTGGTGGGGACAATAGGGACGGTGGTGGAACCAGCGGGGACAGTGGTGGTGAGGACAGTGGTGCTGGGAACAACCTTGGGGGATGTGATGCGAGCGGTGGTAGGGGCCGGGAGTCGTTTGCTGGCGGTGCGTGG